GACATGCTAAATAAATACTAAAATTAGAAATAAACGCGTAGATGATGTAAACAAAGAAAAAAAACAAAAATACTTATTGTTCGGAAACCCGTGATCACCCTCTGTAAATCTAGCAGAAAAAGAATATTATCTTTAAATATATTGACTAATTACCTAGGATGTGTTAAGTATTATTTTTTTAATATATTTTTATGCTTTACATCTCTTGTCTCATTAATTTTTTTATAGTTTTTGATATATTATTTTAAGTGGAATCTTTATTGAGAAATAAATTTCAGCTATATTATGTATTTTCTATTTCCAGAATTGTAATAAAGCATATCACTATGTTCTTATTTAGAAAATGCAATTTTAATTTAAAAAATTGTCATTTTTATACTATAATAAAATTCATTTCAAAAAATTTTTTATAAAAAAAAATGTTTTTATTTTTATAAAATCTAAATAATTAATTTAATTTAAATAAGAAAAGATTAATTAATTTTTGAAATAACTACATTATCTGAATATCTAAAAAGTAAATATACAATTTTATTTATATATAACTTTTTTTTTTGATTCTTTTTTAAAAAAGTTTTTTTAAAAAAAAATGTTATATATATTTTATACTATAAGCCACACTTTTAACTAATCAATCTATTTGAGCAAAATTATTTTTTTTGATATATTTTTAGATTTTTTAGATTTTTCAAATTTTTTACTTTATTAGATTTTTATAGAAAATATTATATATACTGTATATGATGCATGATCATAATAAAATTTTAATTAAGTTAAAAATCCATCAAAATTGAATTCATTATTCTTATTAGAATTTTAAGAACAACTGGAATATAAATCTTAAACTTAGATATAGTAATATAAATAATCTTTTTGATAAACTTTCTTTTTAGTTATGATCATAAATTATTACATAATTTTAATTATAAAGAAAAAATATATGCAAACCTATAAAATATAAAATTTTGATTGATATAATAAATACTATATTCTTATTTTTCCTTTCAAGCCACCTAAATAATTTATTAATATGATAAAGAAATTAAAAAATTTAAAAATTGAAATAAAAATAATTAAATTTTGCTTAATTATTAATTATAAATTGAGTTGATAATTCAATAAAATATTTATTTTAAATCTATTAATAAAATATTTAATGGGTTGGATTTACCTGTACTAAATCTAGTACATTGTACTAAATTATGATAGAAAATAAACTGAAATTTCTACTAATTTAAAATAGATAACAGGATTCAAAATTTATTTAGCAATATACTTATGTCAGAGGATCTCTGTAATAAAAATCATAGGCTCATCAAAGTTATACGTGAGGCAAAATCATGTATGGAGTATACTGTGTAAATCTATTTATCTAAAAAAGGAAATTGTTAATTGTGCCTCCAAATTTGTTCATTGGGCGAAAAATCAATTACATGACTATATAATTCTGGTTAGATTTCGGCTGACAGTGGATATGCTAACAAAATTGGGATACAAACAATAGCCGTCTTTAAAAAAGGTTAAAATATTAAGTAAGTGGCATTATATACATAATTTGTACATATGAGGCAGTAAATAAATAAGTTGATTTCTTAATGTAAATTGAAACTGACTGCGAAATAAATGTGAAATGTGAATGTTTCTTAGTGTAAAATATGTATGGGAATATAGAAGTTCTTTTCTCATTGAACTTTTTCTTTCTTTATCTAACCTTTAAAATGGGACGGATTTCTCTGAATATTAGAGAAGGCGTCAAGGTTTCTGTTTTGGGTTCTGTTGTAGGTGAAAACATCGCTCAACCACTTTTGAGAGAATTATGGAAGACTAAACGACTTTCAGCAACAGTTCTACGAGTAGCATCAGGTAATAACCGCTGAATAATTTGTCTCGATTCATAACCAGAAAATGAAATTGAGGTCTCATCGAGCCGTATGAAGTTTGTGGCTTTTTCCACAACTAGTTCAGATACTGATCAAAATATGGATGACGAAGAGAGAACAAGTGATAGCGAAATGGATAGTGAAACGGATATTTCAAGTAATACTGATGATAGTTCTGAAGATGGAAAAGTCATAAACGTTAGTAATGTTAATAACGTATAATGGACCAATAAAGTTGTTATTATTGATCTTTGCCAAGTGTCTCGCTCCTATTCCAGCACACCAGTTGTACACATTGCTGATATCTCTAAAGCAATACTCAGACAATTTTTTGAGCGGTTTATGCCTGTTGATTTTATAATGTCAGTGGTAATTCCATCTACAAATAAGAGTGTGCGTGAATGTGAACGTGAGTGGAGTGATTTAACATGGATAGAATTTATGAGATTTATTGGCATTTTAATGATTATGACGTATGTAAAATGTGCTGATATTTGCAATTATTAGTCCATTAAACAAGAAACAGCTAGAGTTTCACTGGCATTTGGTCAATACATGTCACATCAACGATTTTGAAATATCATAAAATATTTGACATTAACAGATATACCAGCAAATGATGATCCCTTTCATTTTGCATAGCAGTTTCACGATGAATTTAACGAAAATCTTACAAAAGCTATCCTACCTGATCCTTACCTTTGCATGGATGAATCAATGTGCCAATGGATAGGCAAAGTTGTTAAAGGTCCATTTCAACGAAAAATACTGAGAAAGCCGCATCCAATTGGATGTGAATTCAAAGCTCTTGCAAATGCTCAAATTAATTTGTTCTTAAGATTAGACCCAGCAGAACCTTCGGAATGTGCTATAAAAAAAATTTTTGGATCAATACCCAGCAACTGTTGCATCTATGTTAAGATTAGTAGAACTATAGTTTTGTAGTGGTAGAACAATTATCGCTGATTCGTAATTTATTAGTACAGATGCATGCATTACTTTATATAACCATGGTCTTTATTCTATTCTACAAATAAAGAAGCATCGTTATTGGCCTAAGAATATCCCTAGTGATATTACAGATGTACTTGGAGACACATATGGATCATTTGTTAGTCGAA